TCTCGGCAGGGCTGCTCTCCACCCCTCCATCCCCCAGCCTGTGCTGATACCGGGGGTTGCCCCCACCCAGGTGCAGGACCCTGCCCTTGGCCTCGTTGAACCCCATGAGGTTCACACAGTCCCACCTCTGCAGCCTGCCCAGGTCCCTCTGGATGCCATCCCGTCCCTCAGGCGTGTCCATGCACCGCTCAGCTTGGTGCCATCTGCAAACTTGCTGAGGGTGCACTCGATCCCGCTGTGTCACTGATGAAGATATTGAGCAGCACTGGCCCCAGTACGGACCCCTGAGGGACACCACTCATCACTGGTCTCCATCTGGACACTGAGCCGTTGACCACTACCCTCTGGATGCGACCATCCAGCCAATTCCTTATCCACCAAACAGTCCACCCATCAAATCCATATCCTTCCAATTTAGAGAGAAGGATATTATGGGGGACCATGTCAAAGGCCTTACAGAAGTCCAGAGAGATGGCATCCGTAAATAAATCCATAAAATAAATCCAGAGAAATGACATCTTTTCAGAGAAGACCCAACAGTACCTGTGCCACGTTAAACCGTGGCTGCTGTGGTTTGAGGAGCAGGCTGTGCTTCCCCACGGGACGGCACAGCGGACACCAGGGATACGAAAACCCACGTCCTCACCTCGCCAGAGCGGATACAAACCCACCACTGCCACATCCCGATGGGCTGAACCCATGGCTCTCGGTCCTGTTGGAGTCAGCATGTTGGAGATATGCAAGAAATAAGACAAAGGATGTTAAGGTAGAGGACATTCATCAACCTCTGTAAACGGTTAATGAGACCTGGACTGAGAGAAGAAACAGGAGGACACCACAAAACTGTCTAGCAAGGAAATACCAAGATAAGGACAAGAAAACAGGGCCGCTGATAAAGCTGAAGTGAGAATCACTTGAACCATGAGTGAACTATCCTAATTAACATAGTAAAAACCACACCTCCATCAACGAAGCCCCTGGCCCAAGCAAAGACCCCTACCCACTGAGCATGCTCTGGAAATCTAAAACACACTGTACCTTTAAGTGGAGACGAGGTTTGTGAGAACCAATAGAAGCAAGGATGAATAAGTGGAATTGTGAAAATACTGATAACAGCTACTCAGAATGTATAAAATGTCACTGCATGTTAACCAAGGGGTGCTGGCTTTGGGGAGCTACCACCTAGCACCCATCTCTGTGCAGACATGATAAAAACATCTCGACTCTGTGTGTTATTTGGCTTTTTTGCACACCGGGTAAAAGAACCCTGCTTTTTGGGACAACAAGCACATCCACCTTCCACCTGCTCTGCAGAGGAGGGCTCGGATCTCTCCGAGGACAGGAGCCCGGCACACAGCTCTGCCTGGCTGCTCCGGCGTCGCAGGGCTGAGCTTGAGGGGGAGCGGAGGACGAGGACCAGCAGGAAAGCAGGCGGGAACACCTTCCTCTACGGTCACACATTTCGGATGGGCATCCGAGGTGCCACAGCCACTGCAGTACGTGGAGCACTCGCTGAAATGCAGAAGTCATCTTTGGCACAGCCCAGACTGCACATGGCTGCCCGGCAGCAGAGCCAAACCCCTGCGCATTCATTGCCCACCCTCAGAGACACCCATAGAAACCCATGTTGCCGGGCCAGCCAACGCGGCTTCTTGCCACCTCAGCTCCTACCCGCAACCGACACTGACCAAACCTGTCAGCAGTTTCATAACAAACTTCTTAAAGGCTCTTGATGTCCTGAGCTTGCTCCGACAGACATAACCGACAGCAGTTTTCATGTTGATGCATCAAGTAAGAACAGTATGACAGCTTCTCTGCTAACACTTGGTGGTTTCAGATGTCCTGAAGGGACAGGAGCTCTGACCACAAGACTCTGCAGAAACACCGGACGGAGTGGCCGCAGCTCTCACTGACAGGGTTATCAATATCGCAGGGTGGAATGAGCTGAAAATAATCTAGATGTCAGGCTGATCTATGGGTGTCTCAGGACATTTTGTGGAGCAGTCCGCAGTTTTCCAGTTCTAACTGCCCAAGCATATATAAGACATGCACACATAGGCTCTATATTGAGCAGTACCCTGTCCACATGATTGAAAGAGTAATCAAAAGCAAGGAAATAGCAATAAATCCTAGAAAGAATAAATATTGAAATGAAGCCGTTACATTAGAAAATAGGAGACATGATTAGAGGCTGGGTTTCTTATGCCAGAAAGCCATGAGATAGCAAACCTTAAACGATTCCCTGGTTCAAGAGTGTATCGGCCATCCAATAACTTGGGCAGGGGGACCAGAGAAGGAAGAAAACCTTTCCCTGCTCCACTGCTGTGTTACATTGCCTAGCAGGCAAAAGGCAGGTGGGATGAAACATGTGGGGGAAAGCCAAAGCTGTAAAATAAATGAAATAAATTGTCAGTGTACCATTTACCTCAGCTTTTCACTTTATATTAATATCGTTAATATTTATATATTAATATTAGGCAGCACAAATGTGCTGCTGGAGAGAGAGTGGATGTAGCGTTGAACTAAATAGGAGCAAACTGCACCCGTAGAACCGTGGCAGGAGCTCACACCGCATCCGTGAGGGCTAAGCCTCTCTCCCTGCCGCCTCCCCATCTCTAGAAACCCACACCCAAAGGAGAAAATGCTACACATCTCTACTTGTTCCCTAGACGTATGGAAACAGCTCCCCATTCCACAGCCCAGTTCATGCTTTTGAGGGATGGGGTTTTTTTCCCCCCTTCATCACTACCAAAGCTGGAAATTTTGTTGGAAAGGAAAGAAAATCTGAAATTTTGGTGCAGGTTTCTGCGGCAATGTGTGAGCTATCAGATGATATTGCGGCTTCTGAGTGCAGATGGTAATATCTTCACTGCACATCTGCAGTGCCTGGTCTCCATCCAAACCTCTAATTTTATTTAGATGAAGTTTCATTTCTGTAGGGCTGTAGGAAACCACAACTGCTGCTGGGGGCCTGGTAGAGGTGTAGGAGGAAGCCAGCCGGGGGTAGCGAACACCGTCCAAGCGGCGTGTAAGCACCCAGCAGCATTGACTGCCACTCAGGCTGGTTTCTATCAGAAGGTGGTGACCCCATCTTGCAGCCTACCCGCGTGACAAGGAATTAGCAGCCCCTGCGGCGTCCAGCTTTGCTCTGAAATGCAGCTGGGATGGCAAGAGACCATTAGCAACAGCTTTTATTTAATATCGCATGGAAAATGATATCCTTCTCTGCCTGTCTCATACGCTGTGCACGTGAATTTTGGGGCTCCCCAAATCACTTTAGGGCTGACGAGTGCTATGCATGCTGCAAGTGGGGCCAAGCAAACCCTTCCACACCCCAGGCTGTTGGCATCATCTCACCCTATTTACTGCCTCCATTCTGGTTTCAGGACTCTGCCAACACCTTTTAGCCCCTCTCTCTGGCTCCCACCCATCCTCTCGACTGAAGTCGAGTCATCCTTTGGCTCATGAGCATCCATTAATCAAAGATTTCACTGAAAAACCATTGACCTGGGCAGCTGAACATCATTGATCCAGGCTACATGCCATCAGGTGCCTTTTGGCTGCTGCAAGCATGGTTAGCACAGTGTGCTTTTAAATAGTCCATCATTCAAATACCCCGTCAGCCTGATGTCTCTGTGTCAGCTCCCAATTTAGCAAGAACAGCGCCCGAGTTTGCTGTGCACGGCCTCTCCGTGTCCGGAGCAAGGCAGGAGATGAGCTCTTCAATCAAAGAGAGATGGGAAGGAGAAGCCATCTCACTGCAAGGGTGGTTAGACCGTGTAGCACCCCACCAGTCTCCTCTGCTTCTTTGTAAGAGCTGTTATCACAGCCCTTGGGGAAAAAGAACAATTTTTAGCCACATCTGCCCATACAGGATCCCTCGCCTCCATTCACAGAGCTAAAACATACAGCCTCCATTGATATTTTTGGCTGCTTCACCCCATTATTGCCATTTTAGGACCAGATAAATAAATCTTATGATTTGCTGGTTGAGACCCCTTTCCTCCCTGTGTTCAAACACTCTTTACATCTAAACCAGCATTATCGATCTCACGGTCAGAGT